CCCGAAGTGCAAATACTGCACTTTGCAAAAAAAAAAAAAACCAGCTGAAGTGTCTATTCATAAAATCCCAACCTCCGCTACGCCCTGCAATGCTCTGATGAGTGGGAGAACAGGAGGAGGATGCAGACCCTCAAAGAGCAGAAGCGTTCACATCTACCCGGTGGACGGAGTCACGGTTCCGTGTGCCCCGGTGGTGGTGAGCGTCGAGAAGGGAGCAAGAACCAGGGCTCTCTGCACCGCGAGGGGCCCTCCATCTTCTCACCTTGGCAGGGTCATCTACAAGTCAGGCATCCCGGTGCCTGCATTTTAAGTTAATCCAGTTCTGTGTGCTTTGGAAAGCAGACAAAGAGTGCTGTGGGGAACTGTTTTCCTTCAGGCCGAATCTCTGCCTCCAGCGTGTGGACACGAGCCTCCCGTGCTCCAGAAACAGCACAGGCTTGTGCTCCTTTGCCATTTCCTGCTGCTTTTGCTACTTCTGCCTGGGAGAGGTGCAAAAGACGGAGAAGCACACTCAGCAGCAAGGAAGCCTGGAGGCCAGGCAGGGCGAGGGGTAGGGGTAGGGGTAGGGAGCCAGCGTGTGGGTAGCCTGTGGGACAGCGGCAGGTTTGCAGGGGGGAGGCAGACTCCTGCAGAAACCACGGAAACTGCCTGCACAGCAAACAGATCCTGCTCCCCCACCTCCCCTTCCTCGGGCTGTGCAAAATGCCATCGATCCCTATGCTGTTCAAAGCAGTCCCCCGTGATGCTGGGATAAAAAGGCTGTTATGACAACTCGGAGGTGGGAGGAGCCTCTAGCCACCCAGCTGTCTGTCAGACTGGGAGTCTGAGACCCTTAGGATCAAGAGGGTCATCCCAAGATCTGGCTACCCAGTTGAACGATCCTCTTCTGTCCCCTCTCCCCCACAACCCATCTCCAGGCGCCCTATGAATTAGTCCCTGGGGTTAAAGTCACAGAAGAGTAAATGTGATCTCCTACCGATGATGCCAGTGCGGCTTCGTTCTGGCCTCCCTGGCGTGACTCTGACCCAACCCAAACATCTTCTCCAACACGCTTTGCTGGCCCAAGCTTAAGAAAGAAATGATGAGACCTCGAGTTTTAAAAGCACACTTCTAGTTTACACAGAGGTTGGTTTCGGCTGGGCACCAACAGTAGAATGTCAACATAACTGGCCCAAGAGTTACCTGCCACACTGGCTATTGGCATAAAAATGCAATTAACTGTTCGTTTGCCAGCTGGGAGAGACAGTCATGAAAATATCATTCTCTCTTTAAAGGCAGGCAATTTTTTTTCTATTGCCAGTGAAAAGGAGGAAAGAATTTACATACGCTAGGAAGTAATAAAACAGAAATCGTCCTAAGAAAACACCTTTAATTGCTTCAATCTCATAGCACACAGAGAATAACAAAGCAGACACACGTTTCAAGCAGAAATAGAATAGAAACTAATCAAGTTGTAGAAAGAACGAGAAGAAAAGGGACTTCCTGCACTCAACTGTCAGTGTTTGGAGACTTTCTCATGGCCACCCCTGCTGCTGCACATGGTGAGAACTCTCTCAGGGGCCTAACCCCAGGGACAAGCATGGTGGTGGCCCAAGGTCACTGATACTGACGTGGCCAGCCACCTTGCAGCCAGAGGGAAAGGGAGCAATCAGTAACACCTGTGTATGCTTAGCTAAAGTGCTGATATTTTGCACACCATGATTTTTTTTGCATTAATTTTTTTAAATATTACATCTAAACATGATTTATCTTGATTTGTGAATTTGGTTACCTCCCAAGTTTCACAACTCTGGCAAGCGCCCAACCTGCCTCCCTCGTTTCAAGCTAGTCAAACCCTGCTTTCAGGGAAAAACCAGACAAACCAAACAGAGCCACTGGCATAGAGTGATTTTCCTAAACTTGCCAAGTTCCAATGGACATGAGAACTGAAGACAAGCTTTTAATTGACATGGTCACCTACACGCCTTTTCTTCAGCACAAGCAGTCTGAAACATTTATGGAAATTAAGTGACAAATTTGGAAATGATGGCTGGTGATTTTTCTCTCCCACCTCTTATTTGTGGCCAGCAGCTCTCTACCTATTTAGTCTGTGACCTCATTACCTCAGTGGCTGGAGGTACTATACAAATACCTAACAGAGACCGTCTAGAAAGCTACAACAGTGAATTCCAAGGGCAAAGTAATTGAGAAAGAGATTTCTTCATTTTAAAAGTTTATGGCTTTGGTGGTGGTGGGGTAGTTACTGTTTGTTTTTTAAAGATTTATTTGAAAAGCAGGAAGACAGAGAGAGAGAGACAAAGGTGTCTTCATCCACTGACTCACCCCGCAGATAGCTACACCAAGCAGGCCTGGGCCAGGCCAAAGCCAGGCACTCCGTCTGGGTCTCCTACACTTGTGGCAGGGGACCAAGTACTTGGGTCATCCCCCACTGCCTTTCCAGGTGCATTAGCAGGAAGCTGGATTGGAAACAGAGCAGCTGGGACTAGAAGGGGCACTTGAATATAAAGTGCTGTTGTTATAAGCAGCGGCTTAACCTTTAGTTCCAAGATGCCAGCCCCTAAAAGTTTTTTTTTTGAAGATTTTATTTACTTATTTGAGAGGCAGTTACAGACAGTGAGAGGGGGAGACAGAGAGAAAGGACTTCCAACACTGCACCTATCCAAAGCCAGGAGCCAGGAGCTTCTTCCTGGTCTCCATGTGTGTGCAGGGGCCCAAGGACTCGGGCCATCTTCTACTGCTTTCCCAGGCCATAGCAGAGAGCTGGATGGGAAGAGAAGCAGCCGGGACTAGAACTGGCACCCATATGGGATGTTGGTGCCGCAGGCCAGGGTGTTAACCTACTGCACCACGGCACCAGCCCCAGAAGTTTACTTTTTAGTATCAAGAAACATGATGGGATTTTCTGAAATCACACCATGGGAAGAATGGGAGATTCCCTAAGAAGCTACCGTTTTCCCACCTGAAATTAAATAAGAGCTCTATCAGTAGAAAAATCTTAGAGGATGTAATAAAAATATAGATATCAACAGGCACCTGGGAAACTGTCCTATACCTGTGTCCTTAATGGATCAAAATCCTACATGGTGCAGAACTGCCATGTCTGAACCAGAACCCCAGAGAAGAGGAGCTTATTTTTTCACAGACCCTTTTCCCAGCTTCTGAGTTGTCAGCGGTCACACAGCTTGCAGGTGGCGGAGCTGAGATTCAAACCACGGTTTTGGCATGGTCCCCAAGTAATGGAAAAGCACTGAGTGAGAGGCAGTTTGAGTGCATGGTCTCCAAACAGACCCCACAGAGCCACTTCGCATGCGTCAGCACCGAGCTCTCCATTCCCCGAGACAAGCTCGTGTGGCACAGAAGTACGTAAAAAGTTCCATGAGAGCCCAGTGGCTGAGCGCATGGAGACACAGACGGCTCTGTAAGACCAAGTAGAAGAAGCCATCACAGTAGAAAAAAGAGACGACAGATTCAGTAAGTGTAAAATGTGCAGCTGATACATAAGCCACCAGGACACAGAGAGCCCAGAGAACACAGAAAGCGGAGAGCTAAGACAGTACAGGCTGCAAACACGTATCCTGACACATTCCCCGTTCAGAATCCCAGCTCTGCTGCTTCCAGAACTTGCGGCACTCTAACTTCCCCGTATTTCAGTCTCTACAAGCTACAGTCAGGGTGGTATACTGTCTGCCCACAGGATTAAATGAGTTACTTGACACAGAATATTACATAGAAGGTCTAAGTACTAAATGCTACCACATTTTTACTCAAGAAGACCACAGAAAAACAGTAGGAAAATCCCAAATTAACTACAACGCATAGCAAATAGAAATATGTGAAGTTCTAAGTGACTCAGTTTACCTCGACAAATCTAAATTTTGCATATTTTTTTTAAATGGAGATTCTAAAGTTAAGCTCATTTTATTACAGAGGAATACAGAAGCTTACATTTCTATATACTGCATCTATTGGGAGGTAATCGTCCTTGGGTCCAGCCGTTTCTGCGCATGTTGGGGGTGGGTGGGCTCACTGACCTGCCTTTTCCCTAAAGCATATTTTGAAGGGTGTTCATATGATAAAAGGCTTGAAGGATGGAGACAGTGCTTCCCTCCTAAGACAACATGATATAGCTGTTTATTGGCCAGCTTTCCAACAGCAAGACAAACTCTCAAGGACCAAGTCACAGACTATTGCCTAAGGTTCAGACTCCCTCAACGCGGTTTTCCTCTGTCAGCTTTTCTTCACCATCTGGAGGTCCAGGTGAGACGAGGTGGCCCACTGATTTGGTCCCTGTGAGGGCGGCAGGCGACAATGGCAGAGCATGCGTGGAGGTGAGCAGGGAGGCACAGACAAAGCGGGTGGGTGAAAAGCAAACTCAGGCTGTTCCAACAACCTGCTCAGGAGAACTCCAGCATTCATGCAAGAACTACCTTCCAAGGGCACACTCCAGGGACCTAAGGACCCCTCATTGGGTCCCACCTCCTACAAGTTCCACCAGTTCAAATAGCGCCACCCTCAGGAACAAGTCTTGAACACATGGGCCTCCGGAAGACACAGACACTGATACCCACATCGTGGCACACTCCTGTAACAGAGCCCACTGTGAGGACCAGCATGACCCATCCTGCCCTCTGTAGCCCAACAGGAATTGACTGAGGCTGGGAAAACCGGGCTAAATGCTGCTCCTCTCCCTACTGCTTTTGCTGTGAATAACAAATAGTTCTTTGTCCCTGACTAGGGAGTCTCATGTTTTCTGCCAACATCCATGAAATTTTGGCAGGATAACTTGCTAGTCTGAAAGCAGGGTAAAATCTCAGAACATTCACATCCTATTCAGTATGGTACCAAAAACTTAGGTAAATCTAATTATTTTATGTATGCAACATTATTTTAAATGGCCCAAAGAATCATTTTTCTTACTTTTATACATTTTTGTGTTTCATTCTCAGACCATTCAGTATGTGTGCTTATTTTATTCTTTACTCACAAGATGTCCTTTTATAAAAAAAAAAATACGTGTCTATATTTAGGCAGTAATTAAAGGTTTGTGCTAGTGACCAGAGATGACCAAATGCAGTACATTCTGAACACAGACACAGTCCAGAGATGTATCATTACCTAAACTTAGAACACTGAGGAATGCAGATTTTCAAAGAGTACAAATTCCATTTCTCCATCTGCCACATGCAGATGAGGTCATGGAATCAGAATACATTAACATTTCAAACCCAAGTTCAAGACAGTACCATGAAGAAACTAACAGCAGCAAATGGCAAATTCAAAACAACTACAGCTCTCATTATTTGATTATCTCTGATTGAAAACATGCAGTTGGGCCACATTCTTAAGAGTATTTAAAGAGACAGACAAAACACATCAGCTGATGGCTCTTCTAAAATCATACAATGAGATCACCAAAGCAAACATTCAGGGTATGTTTTCTCAACACCACAAACATCCAAGAAGAGAGTCACTGTTTTTCTCTAGCTCTCCCTGAGCCTGGCCATTCTGGAATAACAGGCTTCTACCATCTGCCCCTTCGTGAATGACTTGTAGAAACTGACATCTAAAATAACTTGATGGGGGTAATTAAACCTAACCAGTCTTGGCTACTTTCTCAAATGTCATAATAAAAGGGTAAAATTATATACTAGACATAGTTGTTTTCCAAAGTGGGAAACATAAAAATTTAAGGAGATGAATTATAATGTTATGACAGCAGTATTTTTACAGAGTGGACCTATGAATGTGGCACTGGTGAGACATTTTTCCCCTTGCCCTGCTGTTGGGAGTTGCCGTCCGCCCCTGCTTTCTTCCTCCTCCACTTTCCTTACTCGGTCATTATCGAATGCACTCATCTTGTTTAAATAACACGGTCCTTAACCTCTGTTTGATGTTGAGAACGTAGGGCTGCTGAAATTACAACCAGGAGGGTAGGAGAGAGGGCGAGAGACACAGGCAGAGAGGAAAATAGAAACAAAATTCACATTTAAGCCTTGTTACAACCCCAAAATATTCCAAGTTCAAAGCATGACCCCTTCTTCTGGAAGGAGGAAGCCAAACTGACAATAGATATTCCAGACTAGTAACCTGGTCAAACTAGACACAATGAATGGTTGTTAGGTTGATGGTTGATTTCAGGATTTTAACATGGTTTCATATTAACACAGCTCATGGGCCAGTATCTAATCTAAATAACTCTTCTCAATTGTGAATCTGAAAGAAAACCCAGTAAAAGTAGTATCTCCTTCCCCATGCATTTGTTACTGACCTATCAAGCTTTTAGACACATCTACACCAAAACTCTGCTTATAAACAAGACTTAGGGTGACTCAGATGGTACCTACTGAGAATCACGAATCTTGGTCGTGTTAGCTCAGTCGTCTGCCCCTCCGTAGCTGCCCAGAAGGGACATACATAACTCACCTTCATACCAGGGGATTACTAAAATGATAGCAAAGGAAAGCTGTGTTTTACAGTCCTTCTAAGTCACAAAGCTTTGCTCTCCCTCTCCCTCTTCCCCCTCTCCCACCCTCCCCCCACCCCCCGCCCACACACACAAAGGATTTACAGAGGCATGATTTGAGGTGCAATCTTGATTTACATAATCAAGAGCTCGCCAAGTCCAGAAGTCTATGGATTGATACTGCTTCACCACCAAAGTGCAGTCTTGCTGATGTGATGTGTTCCATGCAAGCTCCCGAGAGGAGGAGCCGCCACAACCCCAAAGGGGAGCCCCTCAGAGTCCATCTTCCAGTCCCAGCCAAGGGCGTGATGCTGGAAAGCCAGTCCCTCTGCTTCCCACTCGCCTAGGGAACAGCTACCGAGCTCACTCGCTCCCTGTGACGCCTTTTCTATCAAACACTGAGCCACTTCCATGCTTGCGTGCAGTGATGAACACACAGTAACCGCACTTTCTTCACATCAGTTCAGCTGAAGTCAGTGTGCCAGAACGCAACCTTGATTTGGAAGATACAATTTTTCTGCCGATCTGCGAAAACAGAATCAACTGAGCTAAGTTTATATCAATTCTGAGAAGGGAAGAGGGGAGGGAGGGAGGGTGGAAGGAGAAAGAGAAAGAATGAAATAGAAAGAGTTGACTCCCTTCAGGGTAAGAGCTGATGGAATTCAAGGCTGCACTATTGCCAGTCCTTCTCACTGGGGCTGAGCCATCTAATTGCCACTTTGGGGGTGTCATGCCACCCTCTTCCCACCAGCCTCTGCTCACGTACAGGGACTTGTACGTGAGGCTCCCTCCACCTCGTATTCCTGGAACTCTGTGATGATCATCCAATCCTGAGACCTCTTCAGCCCTGTCACCCTCTCGGCACGTCGAAGTCGCAGCTGGGACCCGAGAGTGCATTGCACGTTCTCTGCGTGTTCTGGGGCCACCAGGAGGCTGTCCGCGGCCTGCCTGCCTAGGTGTCTCGGTGCCACTGTCACTGCACCAACAGCTGCTACAGTATCACACTGGTTTTGCACTGCCTGTAAGAGGCCACAGCTTCTGCTCCTGCACCCTGGGAGGGGAGACACACAGTCCCCAGCTCTGGGATCCCAGCTAGGATGTCAGGCTACTCCCTCCTCTGCCTCTTCCTCTCCATCCTCCTTACCTCTCACTCCATTCCCCAGGGCTCACCCACCATTTTGGTTCTAGTTTGTTCTCTACCTTTCTCCGCCTTCCCACCTTCTACTCAGTCCTCTTTTGGCTGAGAAAGCTACTGCTTCATTTTCCACTGTGCTATGTTTCATGACACTGTATACACCAGGGGACTTCAAAATTACTGGAAAACTTCAAAGATGTTTCTTTTGGCACAACACATTTAGAAAGCCTTGACCAGGTTTTTCACAATACACGGTTTTCATGAACTTTTTGAAGACCGTCCATACACCTCCCACATTTCAGTCCTCCATGTCTTGCTGTTTGGTGTCTCAAACCACAAACTTCAGGGACACCTAATCCCTCTAATCACAAGCACTTAGCTCCGTCACATCAGAAACACAACGTCGACATTAATTGGTCAACACTGGAGGACGCTAATAAGAGGTCCATTGTTCTTGAAAGTGGGAAATAAGATTGAGCAATCAACATGTATCTTGCCTTCCCTATAATGTACGCCACAAAAAAACAAACAGTAAGTGAGGAAACATTTTCTTTACAAAAGTATCCCAACTTTTTTCCATTTTTTTTACATCATGAATGCATTTTTACATAGATACAACTTTAGGAATATAATGGATCTTTCCCCCATGTCCCCCACCCCACTCGCATCCCACCTCCCATTCCCTCTCCCATCACCTTCATTATGGATGATTTTTAGTATGACTTTATAAACAAAGGACCAACTCTATGCTCATCATAGATCCAACTTTTAAAGGAAGAAGCCATGTGAGAATTCAATGCAACATCTGTAACAAAAGATATCAATGGCCACAAACATTGCAAGAAGAACAAGAAACAATCTGTGACTTTTGCTCAAAGAAACCACCCCTCCCTATTCTAACCACCCCTCCCTATTCTAACCACCCCTCCCTATTCTTGCCAAAGCTAATGAAATGAATGTATGAATCCGATCAAGCTCCAGGGCCAGCTGACAGGAAATGCAAAGGTAGAGGAACAAGGAAAATGACCTCTCGAGGATGTGATCAGAGTAACACGCACTAGACGATACCTAACAGCTCCATTGGGTTTTTATTTTTTTACAGATTTATTTTATTTATTTGAAAGAGTTACAGAAAGAGGTAGAGACAGAGAGTGAAAGAGGTCTTCCATCAGCTGGTTCACTCCTCAAATGGCCACAATGGCCAGAGCTGGTTTATCTGAAGCCAGGAGCCTGGAGCTTGCTCTGGGTCCCCCACCTGGGTACAGGGGCCCAAGGACTTAGCCCATCCTCCACTGTTTTTCCAGGCACATTAGCAAGGAGCTAGATTGGAAGTGGAGCAGCCAGGACTTGAACTAGTGCCCATACGGTATGCCAGCACTTCAGGCTGGGACTTTAACTTGCTGCACCACTGTGCTGACCCCACAACTCCATTTCTTAACCAAGTAAGTTGCAAACATGGAGGAAAGGGAAGCACAAACCTATATAAAAAGATATTCAAAACAAACTAATCCTCCTGCTTGGGCCCTTTGTGTATCTAAAATTAGGGGAGAAAATGGTTTTATCAACAGGATGGAGGTCCTGCTCTGTGGCATAGTGGGTAAAACTGCCACCTGTAGTGCCAGCATCCTATGTAGGTGCTGGTTCAAGTCCCAGCTGCTCTACCTCCTATCTGGCTCTCTGCTATGGGATGGGAAAGCAGTAGAATATAGACCAAGTCCATGGGCCCCTGCATCCACGTCGGAGACTGGGAAGAAAATTCTGGCTTCAGATCAGCACAGCTCCAGCTGTTGTGGCCAAATGGGGAGTGAACCAGCAGATGGAAGACCTTGCACGTGCTCACTCGCTCGCTCTCTCTCTGCCTCTCCTTCTCTTTCTTCTGTGTAACTCTTAATTTCAAATAAATAAATAAATCTTAAAAAAAAAAAAAGAATGAATCAGCACAAAAAAAAAAAAAAAAGAATGAAAGAAAGAAAGAAGGAGCCAGTGCCGCGGCTCACTAGGCTAATCCTCTGCCTTGCGGCGCTGGCACACCGGGTTCTAGTCCCGGTTGGGGCACCGGATTCTGTCCCGGTTGCCCCTCTTCCAGGCCAGCTCTCTGCTGTGGCCAGGGAGTGCAGTGGAGGATGGCCCAAGTGCTTGGGCCCTGCACCCGCATGGGAGACCAGGAGAAGCACCTGGCTCCTGCCATCAGATCAGCGCGATGAGCCGGCTGCAGCGCGCCAGCCACGGCAGCCATTGGAGGGTGAACCAACGGCAAAAGGAAGACCTTTCTCTCTGTCTCTCTCTCTCACGGTCCACTCTGCCTGTCAAAATAAATAAATAAATAAATAAATAAAAGAAAGAAAGAAAGAAAGGAAGGAAGGAAGGAAGGAAGGAAGGAAGGAAGGAAGGAAGGAAGAAAGACTTCCAAACCAGCTCCCTGCTAACATGCCTGGGAAAGCAGCAGAAGACAGCCTTAATCCTTGGGCCCCTGTACCCTCATGGAAATCTCCAAGAAACTCCTGACTTTGGCCTGGCCTAGCCCAGGCTGGTAAAGCCATTTGGGGGGTCAAACAGAGAATGGAGGACCTCTCTCTCTGCCTTTAACTTAAAAAAAAAGTCTTTGTCTTTCAGAGGTGGATATTACAACATTTACAGAGGGAACTGTCTTGCTACATTGAATACACTGCAAAGTCATTTGGTGGCTTGAGTTGCATTCTAGAGCAGAGAGAGACTATTAGTGGAAAAATGGGTGGAGAAAGAATAAAGTCTCTATTTCATTAATAGTTCATATCAGTATTAATTTATTCATTTTTTAGCAAACGCATGAAAAGACAGTACCTGTAGGGGAAACTGGATAAAGGTTACATGAAGATCTCTCTGCTCTCTTTGCAACCTTTCTATCAGTTTATTTAAAAAGTCATGAGGAAGCCAGAGAGGGAAGTATAGAGGAGTTCAGGTTAACCATGGACTTGATGTTGCTGAGACTGAGTGATGAGCTGAGGTAACTATATTGCTCTGCCTACTTTTGAGTGAGCTGTAAACCCTCTGTAATAAAAAAAAAGCTGAGTGCATTAAATACACCCTGATGTTATTTATAGACTCTCGAGTGCCTGTGCAGACTTGAAGCAGTGATTTTACTCTCTGCTCCAAGGACACTGGCTTAGAGAAGACACAAGTTCCTACGTCTCTCCTCCTGAAGACAGGTCTGGAAGTCAGTGCCCTCAGACTGTCCCAGGACTGCTCGACAGGTGTCTCCTAGGAATAGATTCCTGGGATGCCGCCCTGTCATTACGCTGCCAAGATGGTTTCCTTATCTCCAGCCATCACTGACACAGGAGATGGCAAGAAGGGAAGTCAAGCTACTTCTTAAGGAAACCATCCCCAAATCCCACCTAACATTTCTGATAACCTTTCACTGATCCAAACACACTCAGCACAGCCACACGCAGCTGGAAGGCAGAGTGTGGGGCATGGGGTTTTCCCTGTACCCTGCCACTGCTCTGTCAAACAAGGTTCAATGATGAAGAAGGTGGGGACAGAGGATATTGGGTAGGAAATCATGAGCCATGGGAAAAATCTGCAAACACAGCACAGAGTTGTCCACCCATGATCTGAGCTCACACTTCATCTAAGTCGCACAATCAGCAAAGATCTGCAAGAATCTGCCATCCTACATGGACTGCCGACTCCTTCATGGGGGGTTGGTTTGATGGACAGGAAAAGCTAGCAAACTGCCTGAAGACTCCCCCATGACAGCAGCAGAGCCCCTGTGTGTGGATGTGTGGCAGCATCATGGGCAGCACCAGGTAGGCCTGGCAGCCCTCCTGCGCCTGAGAGAAGCCTCCTGGGCAGTCTCCATGCCATTCCTGGCTGTGGAGGCCCTTTCTCCTGGGCAGTCTCCATGCCATTCCTGGCTGTGGAGGCCCCTTCTGGGCTCCCAGTCCACATCCAAGCCTACTGCTCCCCTGGGCAAGGAGCTGCGTCTCTTTGGGTCAGTCTGCTGCCTTTAGGTGAGTGCGCCTGAATGCCAGTGACATGGCGGGCAGAGTGTCTGAAATCAGAGATGAAGAATTATGCCTAAGCTCCCTTTGGCACTTAGGAAATTCACACAGGGCCTTGGTTTCCTTGCACACCGGACGGGGGTATGGCTACCTCCTCCACCTTCCTCATCAGACGACCAGGAAGTTCAGTTACAAGGTGATGTCACACCTCAAAATGCTGTACTTTATCCCCAAAAAGTGACTACTGTGACTCTGATTAATCTAATGGCCATGAAAGCCAACTAAAAAGTAACAGAAAAACCAAACGTAGCAATCATGTGCTTCCAGCCTATTTGAGGCAAAGATTTGACAGTGCCAAATGTACAGGATACAAGGGTGAGACAAAACATCCCAAGTTACACCTCTCC